TTAACTGAATGGACTCTTTCCAAAGCATTACTAATTTTGGTTCATAGCAAACATTCACTGTATATCCAAAAATAAGATTTTATGTTATTTCAGACATCATATAAATAATTTTGTGACAATATAAAGGGTCAAACAAATATGACTTAGGTTTAAGGTATAAGACATTTGATTGTACTGTTTTGATCTGGAAAAAGGGCTATACATTAAATGTCTATTCCTTGAAGTTAAGTTAATAGTAAGCTTGTGAGGTCTAAAAGAAAGTATAGAAAGATAAGATAATCCTGTGCTTTGATCAAGGAAGGTTTTATATATTTTTTATTTTTTGTCTATGTATTTGTACTTGTAATTTGTGTATTTGTAATTATATGTATGTCTGTATGTTTGTATGTTTGAACTTTGTAGGATTTATGTTGTAGTGTCTATTTTAACACTTTGTTAATAAACTCAATAAAAAAAAATAAAGCAATCAGCAATTCACTTCTAATCATAATGGGAATGAGCCCTGAGAATAATATCACCTTTTAGAATTATGTGAAATTAAATGTGTGTGTGTGTGTATGATTCTGTTAATTCCACAAGAGAATATTTAATTGGAGAGCATCAGAATTATTCCTAGAACTACAGGTCTGCAAATCCCAGGGGTCCTTTTGTCTGGGCAGATTCTGGAAAGTGTAATCTGAAGAAGCAGAAGAAGAAGAAGAAGAAGAAGAAGAAAGAAGGAAGGAAGTTTCCCAAGTTGTTCTTAAATCATCACATGATGAAGCCCTGATTCAAACATTCAGTTGGATGATGCTGAAAATGGCTTCTGTTGCTCTATTTTCTGCACAGCTGCAAGGAAGTTTGGCCATCCCCCTCTCACAGAACAGTGAGATTTCCTGGGAGTACCCCTATATTCCATCACAATGCAAGACTCCCACAGAGGCACATTGGGCCCTTGGTATCCACTGAGGTTTGGTTCCAGGACCACCTGTAGATACCAAAATTAATGGATGCTCAAGTCTAATTAAATACAAAAGATAGTAAAATGATGATCTTTATATAAAATGGCAAAATCAAGTTTTGTTTTTTGATATATATATATATATATATATATATATATATATATATATA